CTACGGTTTGTTTTACGCGAGTGACGGGACGGGCGAGTCAAATGATTCGTTAGTACTCGCTATGCTATGCCAAGCTATATAGGTATCTGCTCGGTAAAAAAATGTCTCGTTTAACTACGTGCATTCGGTAAAGAATCTGCACAAATTAGGTGCAGAAACGAGAACGGAATATTTTTATTATTAATAGAATATTATATATTACTAGCTGACCCAGCGAACTTCGTACCGCCCTAAAAATAGGGGTTGTCCAGCGGACAAAATTGTGAATCTAAACCATTCTCAGATCCCCTTGAACACACACAAAAAAATTCATCAAAATTGGTCCAGTCGTTTAAGAGAAGTTCAGTGACATACACACTCACAGAAGAATTATATATATAAAGACTAGTGGCCCTCCCTCGCTTCGCTTCGGTGTAGAGCTGAAGTTTAGACTTCAGTTTTTGTTCTCAGGCTTGTGTTATACACAATGACATTCATCTATGATTCTTCTCATACCTACGTGCAAAATCTCAGTCCGACCGGTTTAAAATTGACAAAGTTTCATACAAATTTTCATTACCTATTTTATCCCCTTAGGATAGAATTGATCAAAATCCTTTCTTAGCGGATGCTTACGTCATAACATCTACCTGTATGCTAAATTTCAGCCCGATCCGTCCAGTGGTTAGGGCTGTGCGTTGATAGATCACTATGTCAGTCAGTCGGTCACCTTTGAGTTATATATATATATATATATATATATATATATATATATATATATATATAAGATTGTGATGATAAATATGTAAGAATATATGTGTGAGGACATCCAAACATCATATTAATCGAAGGTTTATTTTAAATCAAGTGTATTAAGGATTAATATCGTTCTAAGCATGAATTGCTTACAGCGTTGTTTTCTTGTTAATGTTAAGCTCACCTATTCCATGATAGCGGTCGTTTAGCCATGTAAAAGGTTCTATAGTTGCTTAAATAACTCGAATAACTGACTAAGCTATTAGCTTAAACCGCTTAGGGGTACTGACCTACATAAAGTCCACATGGCATGATAGCTTTTGGAACACGGTGATACATAAATATTGTACAAATAAAATGCAAGTTTATTTATTTAATTTATTAAGGACTTTCTTAATATTTAATATTTTCTAAGGACTGCACATGCAGTCGCATTGAGAGACAGAATGGAAGAGAGCGATGTTGCCATCATTATCATCATCAACCTATTAATGTCCCCACTGCTGGGGCAAAGGCCTTCCCTATGGATACAATAGGGAGATTGGGCCATAACCCACCACGCGGACTCAGTGCAGATCGGCGGGTGCTAAAGACTGCAGATGTAGCCGAAACCAACGGCTTAACGTGCCTTCTGAAGCACGGAGGTCTCGAGATAAAAGAGTTTTGGTCACCCATCCAATGACCGACCATTGCGAAAGTTGCTTAACTTCAACGATGGCAGCCAAACGCGCTAACCACCCGCGCTATGAAACTTCTCATGTTCCCATAACTGAAATTTTGTTATGCACTGACCCGTGTGGCTATAAAAAAATACATTTAAATGATATTAATCAAACAATACTGTTAAATTATACATAGGTTAAATAGTATAACAATCAATTGAGATTAACAAAAGCTAATACACGGTAATATATGAAATAAGAATACAGTAAAAAATACAATACGAAGGAAAAATAGACAAATATCATAAAAACCGATAAATCTAATTATAAAATTCTCGTGTCGCGGTGTTTTTGGTAAAACTTCTCCGAAACGGCTTTCCCGATTCTCATGAACTTTTGTGTGCATATTGGGTAGGTCTGAGAATCGGACAACATCTGTTTTTCATCCCCCTAAATGTTAAGGGTAATCCACCCCTAAATTTTTTTTTCAATTTAAGATATTTTTTTTTATTTTTTTTGATACAGCAATTTTTTACCCTAAATTTTCACCCTTCTACCACCAACCCCTATTTTTTTATGGCGGTACGAAGTTCGCTGGGTCAGCTAGTAAAATATAAAGATATTATAACGTATAAGGTGCTGTCCGACGGCCTGTGTTGTCGCAGGTCGCGCAGTGTTGCCAAACGTATGAGAGCTCTTACGTTTGAGATTGAGCAGTCTCTATACATGATACGAGGTAAATAGAAATCTGGTACACTTTGATATGAGATTTGAACAATGTTGACTGTTTGTGTCATGTACGTACACAACAAAAATATTATAAGAAAGTTAATAAATGTTCAGTCCACGATGGTACGACTTAGTAAGTACAGCTTCATTATGCCATCACAAAGTGTACGAGATCGAGTGTACGAGTGTACGTTTGGCAAAACCGCCACGCGGGCGCTACACACGCCACACGCCAGGAGCTCTATTTTTGAATCACTCGTCTGACATAGTATCGTCGAATGCGACATAAGTCACCTTCGACTTTCAAGTCGCATAATACTGATTTTCCGTATTTTTGAATCATTCGTCACCAGTGTTACCTGTTTAATACGAAATATGATTATTATACTCATTTCACGCAGAAAAAATAAAAGTCGATAATTACCGCAATGAAAACCGAACAAAAAATTTTCGATCTCACTTCATATAAAACATGACAATGATAGATTATCGTCGTTTAATAGCACAGAAAAATTGACAATTATTCTATCATTCGCCTCCACCGTTTGCCATGCAGCGAGTGGATGAGTGAGTCACCCATTCGTTGCACTCGAGCGATTCAAAAATACGGATTTAATTATGTCGAATGAAATTTAGTAGAAATCGAGCGTTCGACGCAAGACGAGTGATTCAAAAATAGAGCTCCAGGGACCGAACCTTCAGAGGAAGCAGAAAGAAAAAAATATATATACGTAAGTTGAGGAAAGGAAGTAATTCAGATGAATAAATTTAAGGACCAGTGTGGGTAACTTTCCTAAGAAAACCATTACACAGATAGAGAAATGATTTCTTTTTAACAATGGTCTTAAGTCTGTGACAATAAAACAAAGATAGTAGATGCTCAATAATGATAACATATTTGTGCTCGGCTATTGGCCTATTTGGTTTGCCATTTATGTACAAAATAAAAAAAATATGCTTTTAATGGGATAGATATATCCTTAACAAAATCCATATCAATAAATTTTAATTATAATACTGAAGTCAAATTAGGAATTGCCATTTAATTATAATAATAATAAATTTGCTATCGTTTCGTATCTGAAGACATTCTTTAAAAACTTTGAAGCTACAATTTTCAAGTTGAGGGTAGTCAATTCATTGTAATATATTTTGTCGAATTCTTTAAATGTTTCGTAGGAATGTGTTTTTAAGTTGTCAGTGTGTAAACAGTTTAGTATCTAACTGTATCTATTTTCAAAAAGCAAGCAAATTTGGTACTATACCATTATGCGATTTAGTCGTAATGTAAAGTAGAAAAATATGAAATGGTGACTATTTACTACATAGGATTTTTGCGTTGTAGGTATTGTCAGCCGGACCGAATATAAAGCAGTCACGCAATTAATTCAAAAGACAAAATCTTCAGTTTGAACACTTGGAAGTACAAAAAATGGAGTATTGTTTATATCTTTCATTACCCCGGTTCCGCTGCCATCGCCAGTGAGGCCCGAACACAGGCGCGAATATTTATTTGAAGTCATCTAACATCGCTCCTAGCGGATTTTTTCCATTCATTTGATCTACAACACAATGCTGACCCGTTTCCAGCTCAGGCTTACCTTTTTATCTTTCCCATTCTGTACGCAAATAAAGTTTATTTCCGTCGGTAACAACCTTAATTGCTTCCGCTGCGTATCCAATTAGACACATCCGTAAATTTTGTAATAGGACCTGTTCGTTCGTGTGCCGTTTCGGGGTTCGCTTATACAACTGATTTTTGGGCGCACATTAATCCACCCTGCGTTCGGATAATTCGTCCATTAAATAGGATTTCTAATGTGTAACTCGTTTAAATGTAACATGTCAAGATTGATGATGTAAATCGGAATGTACTTTTATGTTTGTAGCAAGCGTATAGTTGACATGGCTTGCCTGATGGTAAACAGTTATCATACCCCTTTAACTATACACAAATCTGATTCCATAGACCTACTCCGTGAAACTATAGCAACCTTACCTACTGCAGGAATAAAATATTATAATATGGTGTTATTGGTAGAAGATACTGGACAGATAATAGACAACACTGCAGACGACACAGAAATTCTGAGAGTAAAACAAAACAAAAATACCACCCACCCAGAAAGAGATCCAAATTAATACAACCAAGTGCTGACTGACACGAAAGTCACAAACACGCACTTCAATCGGTTCAACTCACACTTGACCCGTTTTAATTTCGTCCTCTCTCACCATTCAGACTTTTTCATCCGGTCCTCTTTACAGCGAAATGAATGCTGTTACCCAAGGACGATACTCTTTTGAAAATTAGCCTGGTGGTCCCTTTTCACTGGCATATAAATCAAGTTTTTGTTCAAAGCTCCGTATAGCCTTTTCGAGGTTTGTGAAATTGGCTACGCTTTACTAACTGTGGCATAAGGAAAGACTTAATGAAATTTCAACTCGATGAATAGGATTAGAGAACGACTGTTGATACATCTGTTTACGATTCATATAAGTAATTGGATTAAAAATATATACAAACAAGATTGATTCCTACATTCCAACCTCAAAAGGTTCGAAGGTAAAGGGAAATCAGTAAAAAATCAAGTATTTTATTTTCAGTATCGGATACAATCTAGGTACATGAACCGTGCGTGCAGTTTTGTGATCACACATTTTGATAATTTTGCGTGTATTAGAAGTATGTTATTTTGCTACATCTCTTTTGTTTCTTTCTCTATTTACACATTATTTTAATAGACATAACAAAAGAATACAGTTAACGCCAAAGTGTACACTGTACCTAGTACCAAAGATGATACCTGTCAAGTATGTGAATAGATTCGTTAGTAGCATACGGAAATGCAATAAAAGTGCCTAAAACCTTACCTTGAGCTGGAGCGTAGATGTTCAAGTACAAGCAATCTTCTGACTGGTTCGTCAAGAACGGCAGTATTCTCTTTAAGTACTCGAATCTGCCTTTTGATATCCTTTTGAGGACTGCTGTTTCGTTCCTTATATCTGGAAGCACTTGCGGGCACACCGGGCTGAACTCCTCGGCAATTTTGACACCAGACCACTGTGCACCCGATACGGGTGGCATAAACCTAAGCGAGCCGATTGGTGGAGAAGCGTACGGTACACCACGGAAGACTTCCACTGGCTCCAAGAACCTCGACTCTGGCGTTACAATGAAACCTCTTATATCCCCATATTTTGTCCGTACTACTCTTGAGCTTATCATCGGCTGCGGATGCTTCTCCTCCATTGTGGATTCCCCCCTCACCGGTCTCGATGTAAGCACGGGAAGCGAGATGAAGTATACAATAGCCAGTATTATCATTTTTTCGCTTCCGCCGCCACCTGTCCAGATATTGTCTGTGGTTGGTTTGTGCTATAAGTCGACCATCTTGTGAGGCGGGTCTGCTTTTGCGGACCATTTACTGGACTATCTGCAACAAGGAGAAAGGCATGTGTTATTTTTAAAACTTGAGGGAAAAATAATTTTACGTGTAGGCATTTGGAGACAGTGATTCAAAGAGGTCTGTAGGTATAAATTGAAAGTAATGAGAATGGTCGTCCAGGCAGATATTTGTATAGTTGTGAGGGAACTGCTAAATATATTTATGATAAGATCTTGCTTGCTTAATTAATTCCAGATGAATGCAAAACTTGAACTGTATTTATAAACATAAACACAAGTACAAAATTTGTAATCGTGTTTGTGTAAATTTAGAAACTATTGTCATAGTAGCAGGTAAGACTGTTCTCGATACATTTCAAAGTGCTTATTATAGTCGAATACGTGTCACAGAATGTAATCCCCGCGCTCATTAAGCTAGAGCTATGAAGACAATCATACATTCTATTGTGCTGATCCTGTATTCCAGTCATGAGCGCCGAGTGCTCATTACCAGAATAAGTTCAATTACAACTCGAATGGTATTACGTTTAGAGATGTCATGTTTCATTGTCTACAAGGTGATAAAGCGTTTATGTATGTAGTTCGAATAAACAAACGGCATAAATACATACACCTTAATGAGTTGAAGATAACATGGAAAAGCTAAAGATTGAATTTATAAATTTTATAATTGTTGATAAAAGACGTCAGCATCTAAAGTATTCTTTCTTTGTTTCTGTTCTAATAAAAAGGGTTGATGATTCGGTAAACGGATTTTAAATTTACTCGAGTAATTTTATAAATATCATGTTTGCTTTTTAAGACATAGGTATTTATCAGATTTGTTATTACTAGACGAAAAATATTTGAGGGAGCTTGACATTTGTTCCTGCGAGGGTATTGTAAAGTACAGCGAAAACACCCCAAATAAAATAAAATTTACGTTAATTTGATTACTTAATAAATACACCCTGAATTTCGAGTTACCAGAGAAAGGACATTGTTCTGCGTCCATACATAGTTAGCCTAAGAACCAACAATCATGAAATATTATTTTCTAGGTTCGAAATCGCAAGTAAACGATTGTAAAAACAAAGATTATTGACGGAGACTTCTGAAAACTTATATTATTAGGAAAACTATTTTTTTAAGGTTATGTTTAATATTCAATGAAACATAGGTCAACCTATGAACTTAGTATGAAATGAATTATTATTACAACTAATTCATGTTATTCGGTGCGATTTTAAAGAATAACTATTAGGAAAAACTTGGTTAGGTAGGAATCATGAATAAAATAAAAACTGTAGTTTTGCTTCTTATTTATTGACTATTTATCACATAATTGTATCATATTGTATATTGAATTTATTTGTATATCACATGTATATTGTGTAAATATGCAGCGTGAATCAGGTGCTCTTGAATAATTTGGCAGTATGATCTTCTCAGGATGTTGTTCATGCACAGGTTCACTAGCACTTGGTAATAAGTTGCTTTTTGGTGGCATATTAGATAGCCGAAATAGTTAAATTAAAGGAAAAATAATCGCAAATAAACACACACAACAGGTAATCCAAAACGAGAATGCACGAATGCCACAGATTACTAATGCAAACTGCCTGCACCGCAACCACAGAGTATCCAGTTTTATGTCGGCCCTTCACTTGACAACAGTTTGTCATTGTCATGCTTAATAAGAAGTGAAAAGGACAGACTGATGTCATGTTTTCAAATAGCAAATACGAATAGCCTAGTGAAGTGCTGGCATTAGAAAAAAAAGAGTGTTTTGTTTGCAGCGCTGCCATAGATTACACATAAAATGGTATTTATTGTCTCAGATTATTTTTTAACTTTTTAATTTAGCTTACTTAACTGGATGTATCCGTCACAATCTAAATACTGATAATTATCGCAAAAAATATACTAAGAATTATCATAAATGCCAAATTGGTTTTAACATTGTCCTTTACACATCGTGTAAATAAAAACAGCACGAACAGTAAACCTGCTGCACCCCCATACAAAAATATTGAAATACATAATTTACAAAATATCCTAAAACGTCGCAAATCAATATCTGTCCATAGTAAAATGATGAAAAAAAATCGTAACATAATAAGCGCACAGACACAAACACTGACTTTCAACAATTCAACTCGTTGCGTTGCAATCTATTGCGCTCTATACATTGCGTGTTACTGTAGGCAGATTTGTATCAGTATGTTCAAGACCAAAAATGAAAATCGTTTTCCAGCATTTTTTTAAATATATTTTGATGTATTGAATGGGTGGACTTTGGTTATGTTGACGGTCTTTTTTCACCCTGTATACTCTCCAAAATATCATCTAATGAAAGCGAAATTTAAATAGAGCTCGAAAAGTCAATAATCTATATGAAAGGAAAATAACAATAAGCGCTCTCTACAATACCTAAAATAATACTTATACATTCTATTAATCACTAAAAATTCTAGAGCTAAACAAAACATACACTGATATTTGAGAAGGATGCTAAAATGTATTCCTTTCTCTATAAAGAAACGTAACTTTACTATGAACAGCGAAACAACATCCCCAATATCATTCGTATTGTACAATTTGCTTCAATTGGAATCCGTAGTAACACTCCCGAGAAACTCGATTTAACATAGTTCGTGATACAATAACGAAAACTTCCAAGTTTAAAATTAGTTAGGTGGACAACCCACAAAGTTGTGGACACTATATGTGTTGAACTAAAACAGCAGTAAAATCTGGCTACAATATAATACTGGGAGATATTCCTTCGATAGTGCCGAGTTATTGGTGCAATAAATCCAATGCAGATAAACACACCAATAAACATCTGAACAGTTTTCCTCGTAAACGTCCTTTACAAAGGAACAGCTTCCTTCTTCGCCTTGGAAACGGTCGTAAAATGTGGAGATAGAGATTTTGTGAATATTTATGGAAAGCAAATGTCCGGACAAACAGTTTCGTGTCTGTAGCCAATTATCGCAAAAAATCTTGAAAATAGATATTTATTACTTTGAAGGAATAATTTTTGCTGTTCTTTTTTGTAAGAACTGCGAATTCAAAACTTACAAATTGTAGAGAGAGAGTAAAAAATATCGTACTTGAAATAATATAAGAGGATAATAGGATTAATGCATAGAAAATAATGAAACCCATATAATATAAATAATTGTTGCTTAGGGCAAAAAATGTTAATGTAAATTTGAACGACTTACATCGACGAATCAATCATATTTTTTTTTCGATAAGCGATATATTTTAAATGCATTATATTCAGATAAATTTTGCGATACGTTCGATTTTAGAATTGCAAATATTCACCACACAACGAACCAATATTCATGATACCTGTGAGCTCGCAATAAATATTTCATTCGTATATGCAGATGCCGCTTGGGTTCGGCCTGAAATATTACGTGGAATTGTAGTGGTTCCGGGAGTTTTGTTTTTCGTAACCAAATAAGAATTGGGATCGAATCAAAAGATCAATTTATGTAATTAAAATAACATCACTACTTCACTGATGATGATGAAACAGTTGAATAACACAAATAAGATGCAATGAAACAATTGCAATGCAATTTATATTTCAAGTATCATCGTAATATCTGTGGGTAAAATAAAATATAATAAGACAAGTATTATTGAAATAAACTATTTATCAAATGAAATAATTCTAATGGGTTGTCTATTTAAATAAAGCTATATTGCACTCTTGAAGAAGCTTGCTTTATATTTTGAAAATTTTCGTGGTATCAAATTTAAACAGACCAATTTGAGCAAACCTGACGTGATTTGCATATCTCTGCATAGTAAGTACCTTTTACAGAACAAACGGTAATTTGAAATGTCTACTGCTAATTGTGCACTTCTAAACATTCATTGAGACTGAATAGCAAAGTGGAGCAAACACCTGAATACAGAGAACACTTAATGTTGTTTTGGGTACAAAAGAACATAAAGGCAAAACTGCAGAGCGACTTGTTAAATTTTAACTTCAGTCAGATTGTTCAAAATAGTCTTTTAATTGAGTTTTCGCTAGGATATGAGATCGAAATCCCCTTAATTGACAAGCGTCAGTAGTCCCAATTTGGCTGTTAAACACCATGTCCATAGAAACGAATTTTCATAATTTAAATGTAAATTTTTCTACACACAAAATGTGAAATAAATTGACAGCAAACGGTATTTTTGTAACAAGATAAAGTTGAGGTAAACGTTTGGAATACACAGAAACGTTTTAGGATTCCGTATCCAAAAAGAGGCAACCCAAAAATCCTGTAGAGCTTGTAGTGAATATAAAAATAGCGTCTAAAATTGAAAAATCAAAATACATGTAGTTAAAGAGGATAATACGAAATCCAAAACCAAACCGTACAAACTTTTGTTTCATATTAAATACCGTGCGTATATTAAATATAAGTACGTTTGCGCACTGGGCACTGTCAAAACAATTTTTTTCTTATATTGTACAACTGTCTAATCTAATGTACTGGAAATATTAATATCGTTTTCTCTAAAAGTAAGTTCAGTTGAATGTAAAAAAACCTCCACTTTTATACACATCTATATCATGTACAAATGTACATTGAACTTATTTCTGTAGTATATCTAGCCAATGATGACCCTTTTGGATTAGTTTTAAACAACACTGGGCAAATCTTCCTCTATATACGACAAGCATCATTGCTTTTTATGTAGGGACCGAATCCAGTTTTCGTAATGGTTCGAAGGATACAACGATTTCCAAGGTATTACTTGCAAAAAATATTTGCTCTGTCGTATCTTTAGCTGTTTTGTAAACACAGTATTATCTTCGGTACGTTATTTAGTTTCCCCCTATTATTTCGGGATATAATTAACTGGAATTTTTATTTGGTGTGTATGCGGTCGCAGATGACCTTTACAGCGTCACCGGGCTTGGGGACGGCGAGATAATAAGGAGACCTCAAGCCAAGAATTGGTGAGTGCCTCTAAAGGTATTCCAGGCGGATGGCATCTCACCCCGGGGAGTCTCCTCTCCATCTGGAG